CTTTAGACTCACAGTCACATTAACCAGTGCTTACTGTGCCATATCTTTGCCAAAACTGGCCCAGATATGTTTTAGGATAACTGGGCCACATTGGTATCATTATATGCCGGTCACCTTATGCTCACAACCACATTAGCCAGTGCTTACTGTGCCATATCTTAGCCAAAACTGGCCCAGATACGCTTTAGGATAACTGGGCCACATTTGTGGCATCATATGTAGGCCACTTTAGGCTCACAGCCACATTAGCCAGTGCTTACTGTGCCATATCTTAGCCAAAACTGGCCCAGATATGCTTTAGGATAACTGGGCCATATTTGTGGCATCATATGCGGGCCACTTTAGACTCACAGCCACATTCGCCAGTGCTTACCATGCCATATATTGGCTAAAACTGGCCCAGATATGTTTGAGGATAACTGGGCCACATTTGTGGCATCATATGTAGGCCACTTTAGGCTCACAGCCACATTAGCCAATGCTCACTGTGCCATATCTTTGCCAAAACTGGCCCAGATACGTTTTAGTGTACCTGGGTCACATTTGCTGAAACATATGTGGACCACATTTGGTTTACACCTTGATTAGCCTTTGTCGATAATGCCACATTTTTGCCAAAGGTGGCCCACATTTGGTTGGCACTATTTGGGCCATAATCACTGTTTACCACATGGGCAACTTTAGGATCACATTCAGATTACACATTGCCGTCAACACTGCATCTTTACCTAAAGAGGCCCACATGTGATTTGATACATTTGGGCCATTTTTGCTGTTTTACATATGGCCCACATCCGCATGCTATCTGGGTGTGAACCGATTGTTCACCTTCTGCTAGTAAAACACATACAGAAAATATATCATCATAATCTTGTCTATTTGCTTTCATATTTCATGTATAGAAAAATGTTTCTCTAATTTTTTTTTTCATTCGGAATGGCAGGAGATATTCCATGATTGACAGATCTTGAGTGAACACGCTCTGACTTATAACACTCGTGCACGTGGAAGAAAACGGACAGTGCTCTTCAGATCACACAAAACAGTGGAGAATGATATTTTGTATAAAGAACGTGAGAATAAATCTATTTTCAGATACCAATGATAACAAAAACTCAACATCCTTTTCTCTCTCAGGATATTCTTTTTCGGTGTTTGTTTGGCCTGTTTCGTCGCAGAGCGACAGGGGAAAAATCTAAACAAAGGACGAAAAAAAAATCCTCCTACAATTTAAGTTTCTAGGTGGTATTCATGTGTTCTGTTAACGAGCTGAACTAGTTGATCATTCATTTACTGAGTTTTAGTTTGTGATCTGGTTTGGTGTTAAATGTACTGGTGGTAGATATATTTCTTTCAGTTTTCAGATATCTATACTGATATTTAGGGGAATCCTTTAAAAATCTTGTGCTCATGTAATAACTATTTTGAACACTACACTCAAAAATTTTATGGCATAGGCTAATGAATTTACAATGATGAGTGATTTACATTTCAGCACTTCATGAACAGACAGCATATTAAGCACGTTCACACCTTAATGAAGACCATTTTTGGGATACGCACGTAGAAAAGAAACAAACGTTTGTAAATTCCCATACAGAAAACAATTTTTATAAGCTAGATACTTCGGGAAACACGCTGGAATAAAACGGACAAACATTGATTACCCTGTTCATTTCTACAGAAGCGTTCATCAACGAGATTTGTCCCAGTGCTCCCGATGGCCAATCCGGGCCTGTGGAGCAATCATACAGTAGGCCTGGGCTACATTATGCAGTCTACATTATAATGGTGTGAAAACAAATAGTCTAGTTTAAATTGATTTCAAGGGCTAATAATGTGAGTCCTAATACCTTTGAAAATTTACTGGTTTTGATAATTAGTGTCACTAGGGGTATGGTTCCCCCTCTATTGAGAAACACTGCTCTAGTGTAGCCCAAGTTATGCAGAAACTCCCGTTATAATCAGTGAAGCTGTGAAATGAATCTCTTATTTACTTCATATCTACACTTGGTTGTTTTTAAAGAGAGAATTTGTGAGCTCGCAGATGTCAATCATTGAGTTTTCAGCACTGAATCGATACACATCTGATTGGATTTAGTTTATTGCATTCATAAGCTCAACTGAAACGTGTGTAATTTACCCTTCTCAAAAACCCACCCTCCTTAGTTACTGTTGCTATGTCCGACAAGCCATGCCGCTCTCACGCTACACATCATGTTCTCACACATAGAAAAATACATTACGAAGCAAAGAGGAAACTGACAACACACTGACAGACAAGACCGAGCAGGTTACTTCTGGCATGAATCATGGTCTCAGCTAGGCATGGGCCGGTATGAGATTTTGACGGTATAACCTTAAGCAAAAATATCACGGTTTCACGGTATCACGGTATTGTCGTTACAGCTCTAAAATGTATTATTTTTAAATGACGGTAAAAAAAAAAAAACCTTTTTTCCGCTGAACTCAATATATTTTGTTTTTGAGCAACATACAGAATATTAGGAACAGTAGAATTTGTTTATTTTTTCTTTGATTTGTTTCCTAAAAAGAAGAGAAATAAAAACTGATGTCTTTATTTAACCTAATCTGTTATTAGTTATTTACTTTTAGTTATATAATTCATATACATATAATTTATATAATTTCATATAATTTAGTTATATAATGTCATATACATAATTTGATTAAATAATAACCCAATTTGAAGCAAAAACAAAGTTCTGACTAGCTTTGTTAAATTATACTATATGCCTGAACGAAGCAAACAGCAGAAGCTCTGAATGAGATGCAGATTCTCTCTCTTACAGCAGGAGGCGCTTCTGGAACACCAGATACAGTGTTTCTTTGGTTACCACTGTAAACAAAGCAGCAATGCGCTGAAACACTGCTTTAATATGAACTATACAGATCACACCTTAATGAAGACCATTTTTGGGATACGCACGTAGAAAAGAAACAAACGTTTGTAAATTCCCATACAGAAAACAATTTTTATAAGCTAGATACTTCGGGAAACACGCTGGAATAAAACGGACAAACATTGATTACCCTGTTCATTTCTACAGAAGCGTTCATCAACGAGATTTGTCCCAGTGCTCCCGATGGCCAATCCGGGCCTGTGGAGCAATCATACAGTAGGCCTGGGCTACATTATGCAGTCTACATTATAATGGTGTGAAAACAAATAGTCTAGTTTAAATTGATTTCAAGGGCTAATAATGTGAGTCCTAATACCTTTGAAAATTTACTGGTTTTGATAATTAGTGTCACTAGGGGTATGGTTCCCCCTCTATTGAGAAACACTGCTCTAGTGTAGCCCAAGTTATGCAGAAACTCCCGTTATAATCAGTGAAGCTGTGAAATGAATCTCTTATTTACTTCATATCTACACTTGGTTGTTTTTAAAGAGAGAATTTGTGAGCTCGCAGATGTCAATCATTGAGTTTTCAGCACTGAATCGATACACATCTGATTGGATTTAGTTTATTGCATTCATAAGCTCAACTGAAACGTGTGTAATTTACCCTTCTCAAAAACCCACCCTCCTTAGTTACTGTTGCTATGTCCGACAAGCCATGCCGCTCTCACGCTACACATCATGTTCTCACACATAGAAAAATACATTACGAAGCAAAGAGGAAACTGACAACACACTGACAGACAAGACCGAGCAGGTTACTTCTGGCATGAATCATGGTCTCAGCTAGGCATGGGCCGGTATGAGATTTTGACGGTATAACCTTAAGCAAAAATATCACGGTTTCACGGTATCACGGTATTGTCGTTACAGCTCTAAAATGTATTATTTTTAAATGACGGTAAAAAAAAAAAAACCTTTTTTCCGCTGAACTCAATATATTTTGTTTTTGAGCAACATACAGAATATTAGGAACAGTAGAATTTGTTTATTTTTTCTTTGATTTGTTTCCTAAAAAGAAGAGAAATAAAAACTGATGTCTTTATTTAACCTAATCTGTTATTAGTTATTTACTTTTAGTTATATAATTCATATACATATAATTTATATAATTTCATATAATTTAGTTATATAATGTCATATACATAATTTGATTAAATAATAACCCAATTTGAAGCAAAAACAAAGTTCTGACTAGCTTTGTTAAATTATACTATATGCCTGAACGAAGCAAACAGCAGAAGCTCTGAATGAGATGCAGATTCTCTCTCTTACAGCAGGAGGCGCTTCTGGAACACCAGATACAGTGTTTCTTTGGTTACCACTGTAAACAAAGCAGCAATGCGCTGAAACACTGCTTTAATATGAACTATACAGAAACGAGATGAAAAGAAAATACCACATAAACTTTTCTGAAGACAGTCAGTTCCCCTCAGAAACACGTTCATATAAACCCCCAAATCAATATTGAGGATTTTCTTCCAATAGTCCGTGCATCATGAACAGTGAGTGAACGAAGTCCAGAACAGAGACGAGTTGCTTGCAATAAGACAAAAAACGGCCAGTTGCCGATCGCGTAAGTCCAGGGACAGCTCCTTAAAGGGGTCATATGATGCGATTTTAATTTTTCCTTTCAAAGCTCTTGGTGCATAAAGAAGATCTGTAAAGTTGCAAAGACTAAGTCTCAAATCCAAAGAGATATTCTTTATTAAAGTTAAGAGTCAACCACGCCTACCTAAAACGGCTTGTTCTAACACCCCCCCCAAATGTCTACGTCACTATGTTGGAAGATTTGCATAACGCCGCCCAAATGTTCACGCAAAAAAAGAAGGCGTATCTTTTATTCTCGCTGTAGTATTGTTGCCGCCGCCGCC